GCATATTGGTGATAAATTAGATTATCTTCTTCAATGAAACATTAATAATTGCCATAAGTTTAATAATTATAATTTTTTTAAAGTAGGCAGATACCACAATACTATATAGTGGGAGAACTACATATAGTTTGGTGAAGTTTAATAGTACAACCAGGTATTGAATCTCGGATGCTGGTTGATTTACTTTATGCCAATTGAGGGACAAACTTTATAGCTAATATAAAATATAAATAATACAAAAATTTCTTATATTTAACATTTATAATAATATTACAAGACATTAAGTGCTAATATAGTTGCACTTGGCTTCTCTTTGCTTCCAACTTTTATACCAATCCTTTCCTTCTACATTTTTGTTGCGTGTTCATCTGTGGCTGTCGACGATGCTCGTACCAAAGTGGTTAAGAATTTATGTTCTAATAAATCATTTTAACAATAGAAAGGACATAATTTTTACTCATGCATTTATTATTTTTAGTACCTTTGTATAAAGCAATATGATAGTTGTTGATGTGTAAGACATAGTCTCTGTCTTTAAGGAGGGAATGAGAAGGGAAATTAATATTTATTGATCATCAAAATATGCACATGTTGTTTCTCACATATGTTTAATTTAATCCTTACAGCATCCCTATGACACAGGTATTCTTATTGCTAACTTTTTAGAAGTAAAACATCTCAGGCATTGAGAGGTAACTGCTCAGGGTCACCCAGCTAGTAACTAAGAGCAAGCTCATCTGGAGTTCACATCTATTGGTTTAATTCCAAAATCATATTTTTTCACTGCAACACCTTTTCTGTATTCGTGATCTATTTCTGGGAAAATTTGTTAGGGGAATGGTTGAATAAAGGTACTTGTAGATTATGCTTTCATACAAAAGAAAAGTAACTGATCTTAGTAAACCAACCTCTCATTGTTCCTCAGTATAGGGGACTGATGGAGAATTGGTTCCAGGGCCTTGCAGATACCTAAATTTGAGGAAACTCAAGTCCTCATAAAAAATGGCTATAGCATTTGCGTATAACCTATATATACCCTCTCCTATGCTTTAAATCATTTCTAGATGACTTATAATACCTAATAAGAATGTAAATGCTGTGTAGATAGTTGTTATATTGTTTTATTTGTATTATTTCTTATTGTTATTTTATTGGGCTGCTTTTTCAAATATTTTTCATTCTTGGTTGGTTGAATCCACACATGTAGAACCTACAGATACAGAGGGCTGACTGTATTTATAATCCTTCTTATTCTGTACTCAATTTTCTGTATAGTACATATGACTTTAGTAAAAATAAAATCAGATCCGCTGGTCAGAACTGTTCAGTGATTTCTTATCGCGCTTACAGTACAGTCTCAGCTCTTCATTATGATCTCTATCAGTGCTGTGCTGGTGCCAGGTCTTACCGGCTTGGAGACCCAATTTTGTTCACAAAATTGTGAACACAGCCATTGTTAAAAATTAAATGACATAAACTTATGGTTAAGTAACTTATGTTAAAAACAAAAGTAATAAATATTTTAATAGTAATAAAATATTTTAATAGTAATAAAGTAATAAATATTTTAATTTATTTAAGTAATAAATATTTTAGTAATAATATTTTAGTAAATAATATTTTAATTTTAAGTATAAGATTATACTTTTTACTGTTATCTATACTCTTAGACAATTTACATCATCTCCTTTATTTGTGTGATAGAAATAGCATATAATGGAGTACTGCTGCTGCACCACTGCTGTGAAGTACTTCCCAGCTCTGGTGCCTTCGTGTTCTAGTGCTGTCGGAGTTATGGATAGTGGCCAAACATGGCAATTGCTACAGCAGGGCTCCTATGACTCAACTTGTTTGGAATGATTGGTATTATGTTTATTTGTATCAACAAAGCTAATAATTTATTATTGTCAATAAATTTTTCTGCCATCATTGAAGTCATTAATAGCCACTAGTAAGTGAATATTTTTTAAATTTTCAAAATATGTTTTCTTACCATACATCTTATGTTACACAGCACTACAAATCTAAGCTCAGCCTTGACTTCTTGATATTGCCACTGCACTGAGGTATAATATCTTCCTTAAAACATGTATTGTCTTATCCTTCATAAGCAAAATACTGTTACAACTCACTATGTGAATTACCTTTATTCTTTGCAGTGTAAATGTCATCATTATTTGCTGTTTAACCATATTTTACACATTTTTTAGGTACTTGCTTTCATTTTTAAAATCTTTGATATTTTTGCTAAATTTTATATGCTTACCCTGATTGTTGCTACTAATAATGAATACATTAATTAAAGAAAGAAACACCAAGGGAAACATAAGTATACATGCTAAATAGATCCCATTAATCTTTAAGCTGGAACGAGAAGGTCACATTTCCATTATCTACAGGATTGTACATATTTTCCATTAATTTCTCACTCATCTTATTAGCAGTCTTTTTCTATACTCACAGGGATTCATTTTAGTCAGTTTTGTGATGAGATAATATCTAAGATCCTATAACAGCCTAGTATAGGTGATCTTAGTCTTAACAAATAGTATTGATTTTACCCCAGCTGGACTGGTATTTTATAGGTTTAGTCGCTGTTTCCATGTGGTACATAAACTAACTGAAAATTTAAAACTTGGCTAAAGAGCCAAAGCTAGACAAAGAGGATACTGACTCCAAGACTACTTCTCTCTCCCAAATATAGATGTGTTTTATAAAAATAAAGATTATGGGCTGGGATTGTTAGTTATTATAATATCTACAAGTTTTTATTTTCTAGGGATCAAGTTCAAACTTTTTGATGGTTTTGTTTTTGGAGAACTCTTATTAATTATATTATTTCCTGTGTGTGAGGAGAGGAAGGTAGAGCCAGGGAGAGAAATGATTTTCAAGCTACATGTCTAAAACAAGCAGAAATTTGTGTTCAGTTGTCTTTGCCCTATCAGTATCCTGAATGACTTATCCTGCTCTTTATCCAGCCATTGCTCTCTGTGCTCTCTAGCGGTAGTGATGTCTGCCTTCTCATCCACACACCTAACTTTCCCTACCCGGAGACTTCTGTGTCCTTGTCAGACTCGAGCAGAGTTGCCTGTTTACTCATCCTTTGGGAAGGCACTATACCTTTACCTCCGTATCCCCAAAGCCTCGGACAGTGTCTGTTTCTCATGTGATCAGTGACTGAGTGTAGGAGTGCCAAAAGGCTTAATTTAAGCCTTTTATTTGCTTTAATGATTTTACCACATTCAAGGAGATAAAGGCTTCTTGCCTTTATAAGATTACCAGATGGTAAAATATTCAACTAATTGTCATTTACTTAGAAAGAAGGGACTTAAGTGAATTATTTTCACTAGGACAGGCTACGGTTACCTTACATGTAGTTCCTTTGTATAGCCATTTGAGTAGAGATCTGAGACTAAGATAGACTTAGAACTTGGTGGTAAGAGAGAAGTATTATAGGACATAAATGTACTATACCAGTTAGTGTTACTTGAGGTACCAGTGACACATTTGCTAAAGGAGTAAAGCATATAGTGTAACTGAATAGAAGTTAGAAATATTTGCTGACTTGAACAGCTCAGGTCAAAGGCCAAAAACTTTGAAAAGTCCTCAAACAACTTATAGTTAAAAATGAAATAAGCAGATGTTTAGAGAATCAAAATGACAACAGCGAAGTGTACTTATTTAACTTTAGGAGATTTTATTTACCTAATTTAGGTATCTCATAGTTTATAAGTAGATAATTGAAGTGGCTAATTTATATACAAACTTAAACAATTACTTTTCTAAGTGGACAAATAGAACCCTACTTGATTCAGTTATTCAGGCATGAAGTTATAATCAGCCAAATGTGTATTTTCAGGGAAGTTATATTTAAAGTAGATATTTACATAATAGTTACATCCTAGGACACTGAGTAAGTACAACAGCTTTTTTTTGCTTGGTGTAATTCTAGAATATTGGATATGTCCCTTTCCATATGCTTTCAGTTTATTGTTAGCACAATTTAGAGATTTGTCCCTTTGACTTTAGACTCTTATTTCCTATTCAGATAAAAATACCTCTGAAAGGGTTAATATATTATATTTTATTGCTCATTTTCCTGAAAACTGTTTTTTATAGAAAAAATAGCAACATCAAGAAGACTCTGAAAGGATAGTGTTAGACTATTTATCAAAAGTAAAAATGCATTTATCCTGTGGCCCAGCAGTCCCTCTTTCGAGAATGTCCTCTACCCCAACCCCATTCCTGCATAGGTGAAAAAAATGATGCATATATAAGGTTGTTCATTGAAGCTATTAGTGACAAAAAATCAGGAACATCTCAAGTATCCATTAATAGGAAAGTACTGATGAATACAAGGTTAAACGAAATATAGTACATCTACACAATAGGATACTTTGTAGCTATTTTTAAAAAATAAAGAGGTAACTATATACTGTGGTAGAAATATTTACAACTTATATTGTTAAGGAAAAAACCAAGATGCATAACTATGTTTATGGAATGATATCTTTTATGTAAGAAATGGGTAAAATAAAATAAGAAATATAGTTATTTGCATAGAGAAACACTGGCAGTATACATAATGACATTATTAAGAGTAGTTGTGAGGTTATGTGAAAGAGGTTGTGGGGGCAGGAACCAGGGACTATTGTATATAAGGATAGGAAGGAGGGAGACTTTTACCTTTATGTCCTTTTATACTATTTTGATTTCTTAATCACGTGACTGTGTTGCCTATTTTTGAAAGATGGCCTAAGGAATGAATGACAAAAGCATGATTAAAATTAACAAAAGAAGGCAATTCATCTCAAGTGAAGAAACTAGAAGTTTTAAATATAAATTTTACCTGTGTTACTCTCCAGAGCCTGGCTCCAAGGACATCATTTACTTCAGGCCTTCAACTATTGATGCAGAGGACTAGTAGCATGAGGGAACTTTGCTGACATTCTGGTCAAATGCCACTTGATCATGTTTTATATGTCTGTATTTTCCTATAGATGCCAGAGGAACAAGCATTCTGTGTTTTGGTGAAAATCATGTATGACTATGGTTTGCGAGACCTCTACAAAAACAACTTTGAAGATCTTCATTGCAAATTCTATCAGTTGGAGAGACTAATGCAGGTAAATAAAATTAGGAGCTTTTATCACTCAGGGATTTGTTGAGCTGTATAAAAAGCCTAATAGAGTTGGTAAATAATCATGAGTTATTAATGTAAAAATTTAACAAAATACAACAGAAAATATAAATATAAATGTATTTGGCTTCTGACTAATATCTACATTAGTAGATATCTACTAATTAATATCTACTATAATAATATATTTACTTAGCCATTTGACTTTTTAAAAAATAGTCTCTCATTTTAAATATTCAACTTTAATAGACTTTGAAGTTAGGAGTTAAGTCAATGAAGAGATTGCCAGGGATCATTTGTAGAGGAATGAAAATATTTAAAGAATGAAAATTGAAATGCTTGAGAGCTTTCTCCATACCACTACCTTATCTGGGCCTAATAGAACAATCGGTGCCACAACCTTATCCGGATCTACATAGAACACTTAGGAAAGACAGAAAGGGAATAAAAACCCCTAAAATACTATAATATAGGGACATATTTTAAATTTTTCTCCATATAATTTCTAATTTCAATATATAGTGTATAACATACATTATATATAATTACATATAATATATGTTACATATAATATATAATTCAAAATAGTTCGAATTACTCACATTTTACCTCTTCTTTATAAAAGTTCATTTTTTTTCAAAGGTCAATATTCCTAAGAACTTTGAGAATCAAGTAAATATACCTGATAAGTGAAGAACAAATTTGTGGAACTATGAAGAAATTCAACCTCGTTTTTCTATTAAGCACTTTTTTCTGTTAACTGAATGACTATTTGGACACCCATTTAAAGTTCCTGATAGGCACATTTGGTGTTTTTCAAAGACAGCATCTAGAGTAAGAAGCGGGTTTTTTTTTGTTTTTGTTATCTGTTTATGAAAACAAAATGAAGGTGGAGTTTTACATATCTTTGTCTTTGTCTTTCAATTATGGGAATAGCTATGCTATGCTTCATCTTCCATGCTTTTAAAAGGCATTTGCTTGTTGAAGTTGGGGGAAAAAATAAAGCTAGCATAATGGCATTGTTAGGAGATATGCAATTTTATACACTATACCCTTGCACAATTTCTTTATTTGCCATTCTTAATATGTTTAAGATAGGTTTTTAAATATTTGATTATGTTTGGGGTTTTCCATTTGCTCAAATAACATACCAATATAATATCATGGACCCCAGAAGATGTTGATATTAGCTGGTTTCCAAAGAAATACACATTTTTTTTTCCAGGTAGTTAAGAGTTGAACTCTGAATGTGGATATTTTGACTTGACCCTGGAGTGAAGATATTCATTAGCTTGTAGGTGTTCTGTCAAAATGAGCATTTCCCAAGAAACAAAAACAATCAAATGAGCAAGAGATGGTCTTTGTTAGTTGTTAATAACAAATGTATTTTTGTTTTTCTCAATGATCTGTCGTATCTCGAATTCCCATCACCTACAATCACTTTTGTGTTGTTACATAAAATGTAACCAATGCTGGAATAAAGTTAAAGTGATCATAGAAAGCTTGTTATAAATCATAGTTGTGGCAAAATGACTTCCTAAATCTTCCACTTTGATTTTAGGAGCAGCTACCAGAACTGCACAGCCATTTCTGTGATCTGAACCTAGAGGCTCATATGTATGCATCCCAGTGGTTTCTCACTCTTTTTACTGCCAAGTTCCCACTCTGCATGGTGTTCCACATCATTGACTTACTGCTTTGTGAGGTAGAGTGACTTCTGTCTTTCATACCTAAGTCAAAATAGAAAATAGTTTCTGCTTAAAGTGGTTACAGTTTTCTTCATTTTCTTTTTTCCTATTACATTAAGCCATAAATACTCACCAAAAAGTTCCATTTTAATTTTTAGTAAAGAATATTTTAATTATAATTTTATTGTGAGAAATGAAAATATTAAGACATATGTATTTCCTACAAAGTAAAATGAGGTGATTAAGTTTGCATAATTTAAATTCACAGTAAGCCTATATCTGTATAATAATGTGTTATAAATATAAAGGACTTTTAAGGTTAAATAAATGAATTTAGAATCAGGTGTTTAATATTAATGCCATTATATTCCAAGAGTGAATATAAATGAGATTTTTACAGTAACTAATTCCTTAATTCATAAGATATATTTCTGTGTATGATGTTTGAGGCTCTTGCCAGATGATGAGAGAAAGGATAAACTAAAGCAATTATTATGTCACATAATTATATTTTTTGACAGTAAAATATTTCAGAAATTAGTTTGTAAAATTTCTTAGGTGTTTATATTTGTTTATTGTTTTTAGTTCCTTAGGTGGCTATATTTATTTACTTTACTCTTCTAAAGAAATGAGCGATATTACACATACATACATATTATATTGCCATCAAAATGTTTTGACAGTTTTAGCAGTAACAGGAAAGTTGCTGGATGAGAAGTATGTATTTTTAATAGTAGCGTAAATGTATATATAAATATAACTGTTAAAAAGCAGAAGCAATCAAAAGTGTAAACTTATGTACTTGATTATAAGCTTAATATAGTCTGGACAGTTTCATGTTATTATACTTTTAGGTAAAAATTCTTCTTTCTTAAAAGTCTATCTTAATCACACTAGGAATTGGAAGTTTAAGTGTAAAAACAGGATTTAAAAAGATAAAATGTATTAATATAAGCTATGTGAAGCATAATAGTGTTATTTCTCAGCCTACTACAACAGTAATGATATTATATGCAAGTTTAGCTGGGCTTTTGCTCTTCAAAGGCTTTAGTTAGTAGTTGTATAGTACCTGAAGGCCAGTGAGCACTTTGTAAGCATGTAAGATTTTTAGTCATTTGTAACACACTTTGATAAAGAAGGCTGAGGTGACTTGCTGGGTTCACAGAATAAGTTCCTGAATCCTGAATATATTAATATAACAGCTAGAGAACCTGGTTGTTAACACATTAATTCTCCTACTCGTTTTACTTCCAAATTAGTTTGGAAAGTACCTTTCTAAATTTAACTAAAAGGAAGAATGTAGAATCAGGAGCTAAAAACCTTATTCAAAGTCACAGTGGTGTGACCACACCATATACAAAGCATATTTTGGTCATATGTACTAAAAACTCTACTTTGCCTGATTATTCAAATTGGTGTGGTAACTAGTTCCAATTCCCCAATTTTAGTACGATGCTCTTTGAAAGCAAAAACCAAACTCACAAAAGCTAATACTAAAAGTTTTGACAAATAAATAGTCATGGATTTTATTTATTACATACTGAGCTTAGTGATGGTATTTCATAAAAACAGGAAAGTGGGGGTATGGCATTTTAACAGTTTTTGTATTATATTAATATATAGTATGAGCTTGCAAATATTTTTTGTCATTGCTTCACTTTTTTTGCTGAAAGAGATTATCTAATTTTATACTAGGTTGGTTGTATAGTATTCATTATAGAAAAGGGAATAAAATTAATATGCTTAATCATAACTAGCTAAATGAGATTTCTCAATCACTTCTGGTAGAGTAATGATGCTGTTCTTTAGTTCACTGGAATGGTGACCTCCTAAAGTTGTCTCTGCCTGAATGATGGCACACCTGGCATCAGAGCACTGTCTGTGGGTCTCCAGGAATCTAGATTTACAATTTCTCAGGAAATGTTATCTTGAAGGTACTTGATTTTCTGATATCAGTTACTAAGAAAATGAGCAACATTTATGTTATGGAAAAGAAAAGTAAATTTATAAGCTTTCTCATCACTTGTCAACTGTGATTCATAATCACAGTGTTTGAAAGATCATAATGTTCATTAAAACTAATAAGAGCATCATAGATGTTGCTTTTCCTCCCCTTAAATCTGCTCTATAGCTGTTTAAAGATGTTGCACAGCTTTCCAAAACATGGAGTAGGTTGTAACCATAGCATCATGATACCCAGAGAAATAAATTATAACATCCTTTAAGAGTAAAATAGCTTTTCAAAATAAACTTTATTGGGAACAGTATTGTAGTGTGCTTCGGGATATTTGTTCTTTCCACTAACTCATCTTTGTCAAGGATTATTTTACAAAGGAAATTTTTGAATAAACTTTTACTTCCTACCTGTCTGTGTTTTTTCTCTGCCCCTTTTCTTCTTGTAGTTAACAAAATATTTATATCAAAAGCTATTCTTTCATATGCGATGGAAATATTCTAAGAACAGAAATGGTAACACAGTCTTAAATAGATCATCCATAGTTGTTTATTTTTGTCATATTTTCTCTTTTTAAAAAAACAATTTAAATCTTGATGGTTATGCATTATTGTTGAGTTACAAATCGAAGGCTTTTTTTTTTTTTAATTCTCAGATGGAAAAAATGTTGATTTTTCAAAGGTTATCATTCTGACCAAAAAATATATTGGTCTGCAAAGTATTTTACTAAAGATCCTATTGCAAAGTGGAAATGAAAGACATTGAGTTTGAGTACATCATGCCATACTTTCCTAAGCTATATACTTTTAAGGACTTCTTCATTCATTCTGAGGTTAAAAATATGAAGTTAATTTAGCAGAACAGGGAAGAATTTTATAGACTTTGATAATGCAGCCTGAGTAAACAACTGCTAGTTATTAATAATTTTATTTTAAATGTTTGCTTAAACTTTAATGTACGATGACCAGGGTTAATTCCAGGACTATGGATGCCAAGAGGATTTGAAACTAGAATTCAAAATATATTTTCTTATACTAAGATGAATGAAACTCTCTATAGATTGTCTTTTAGTGAATAATTGAAAAGAAGATCATTTTAAAAAACTAAACTTATGCCTTATTGTCTGCCTTTATCTGTTTAGCAAGATAAGAAAAAGGCTAAAAGTATTAACATTCATAGTGTAAATATTGTGCTATTAACCCACCAAGAATAAAACATACTCTGTCGCCCTGGCTAGAGTGCAGTGGTGTCATCATAGCTCACTGCAACCTCAAACTCCTGGGCTCAAGTGCTCCTCCTGCCTCAGCCTCCTGAGTAGCTAGGACTACAGGTGTGTGCCACTATGCCTGGCTAATAAACATTGCACTTATAAAAGTAACTTTTTATAACAGAACAAAAGAAAATGTGCAAAAATTAATGTAAAACTTGATGATTTTTTTAAAAATTAACATAATAAGGAAACAAGCACCCAGATTTAAAAACACAAACAGAACATTATCTGCATTTCAGAAGCCCCTTTTCAGTAACTACCCCTCTGAAGAATAATCACTATCCTGACTTTTTATCACCATAGATTATCTATTTGATTTTAAACTTTATATAAATGGAATCATATAATATGAACTCTTTTTGTCTAACTTTTTTACTCCATCATTATGTTTGTGAAATTTATCCATACAGTTGCATCTGGGCGTGGTTTGTTCCATTGTGTGACTATACTACAGTTTATCCATTCTCACACTCTATTGTTGACGGCTGTTTGAGTTGTTTCCGATTTAAGACTGTTGTGAATAGTACTGCTATGAACATTCTTGAATTTGTCTTTTAGTGAACATCGGTGTGCACATCTGTGGGTATACATGTAGGAAGAGAACTGCTGGGTTAGGGTGTGCAGATGTTTAGCTTTAGTAGATCTACCCAGCAGCCTTCCAAAGAAATATGAGCATTACCTTTTGAGTTGCTTTTATTCAGTAAAGGTCTTCCTTGTGTTCAGTGGCAGGTTTTTGTTTTCTTTTGTTTTTAGATAGAAGATACTGGGTCAGATTTAGAGTTCATGAATATGCAACAAAGTTGAACTCATTTGGTGACTGAAGTGATTAACTTGATTTCTGAAGTTACTTACAGATGGAGAGTAAGAGCTGGAGCTAAGAGCAGAATCACTTTTGTGCTTATATCAGAGAAGTTGCACTGATGGGAAAATCCAGAAAAGTACTGAGTTTTATAAGAAGCAACACAGAGCCAATATGGCATTCAAGTTAGGATGTTAGAGTTTTAGTCAACTTTTCTTGGACCACCTTGTTCAAATGACTTGACCTATGTAAGTCTTAGTACCAATCTCCCAGATTTAGTACAAGGACTAAATGAGGTTATGATATAAAGTGCCTACTACTGTACCTACTACATAGTAAATATTCAGTTAATAATATTACCCTGCCTCTGCTGTGTCCATCTGTATAGCTCTTTTAGTTGCTTCTTAATTTCTTCAATGAACTAGCTTTCTAATCACCTTTTTCCCCCCTAGTTGAGATGCTTCTTTACTAAAAGCAAAATTTTAGCTAGTGACCTTAATGGAAGCTTCATTCTATTTCCTTTTCCAGTAATGATTCAAGTAGTTCTCCAAGAGTGTTTTTTACTTCCCCTTCACCTTCTTTCAAAAGACATAAGGAAAACACCAGTGTTTCTTTTAGTCTTGACAGGATAACTGACAGCAATGTTTGAAGTTGACTTTTCCCAGATAGTTCAATTTTTAGAGTACCAAATATATTCAGCTTTATATAGTAACTTGGTATTTCATGAAATTTAAGGAAATCATTGACCCTTTAAATTAGAGTGTATCTTCTGCTTTTCTCTTCTTAGGATGATGAAAAAGTGACAGTACTGCATTATCTGATCAAATACCACCAGGTATAATCCCCCTTCAAGGCAGTTTTCTGAAGTTTTTATCTGAAGAATAGATTCATTATATAATACTCTCCCTTTTTACCCCTTTTTTCCTCCCCCACAAAAGAAACTCATCAGAATGGGCTAATGTAGGCCAGGCACGGTGGCTCACGCCTGTGATCC